TTTTATATTGTGATTAAAGAGAGTTTGCTTCTTTCAATAAAAAGTTCACTAAAAAACTCACACACCAAGCAGAGCACTAGACATTTATTTACTTTATATTTTTCCTCCTCTGGCAAACATGTGGCAGGTAAACATAAATAAAATAAACAGTTCTTGTAATTTGTTTCATCCCTGCATTTGAAAGCATTGCTCTYCTAAATTAGCTCTGCTCAAGCTGACACTATTTAAATGTCTTAGCATTGTTAAAAGTGCGATATAAAAATGTATGTGTGCATCTAGGCCTTGAAAGGTTGTTGGCAATTATTTTACCACTGGCCACAAAAGATTTCATTGGGCACTAGGTGGCAGTGTTGCATAACAGCCAATCATGTTGAAAAAGAGTACAATCTTTAAACCTGACAAATAGAATTCTTTTTACAATTAAATAATTTGACAAATGATTTAAAATGTGTTGCTGACATTGTGCTGAAGTGGTGGCTCCGTTTTAAAGGTAATGAGTCTGCGTCAGGCTCCAACAAGCATCATTGGGCTGGTCGCTAAATATTTCATTTTCTATACAGTATTAAGTTGTTGTTATACAATGATGGTTTTTATTGCATTCTTTTGCCTTAATATACAATTCATCTTTTGATGATTTTGTACTATGGAGGTTTATGTGTTTCTATTCTGGGATATATTTTTTTAAATCGGTCATGCCCACGARTGTTTTGAAATTGTTTATAATATTTATTGTTTGAGTTAGATAAAGAAACTGCACCCCCGCGAGTCTACCTAACTTGGTCTATTCGAAGTTCCCCTTCTCAATATATCCCATTGGACTCCTCCTCTTCCTGTTTGCCAGTCGGTACTTCCGCWTGGATCCGGAACTGCGTGGATGCGGAGCCCATAGATCTTCATGATGTAAATACTCTTTCAAATATCAACCCAGTTATTCGATCTTCTGTGTGTTCGACGTGTCGCTGCACATGTGTCATTGTTCACTTGTGTTTTAGAGGAAAACTCGTCTCATTAGTTCCTAACGTCAATGCTTAGCTGAGCTAGCATCACAAGCTAACCGAACCTGAGCGTGTGTGAAATTCTCATGTAAACACTTGATCACTTGTTTTGTCCTAAACTAACTAAAGTACGTCCAGTTGACTCTGAGGAAACATCTGGAGATGTATCTTCATATAATATATAATAATATACAACAATGATCAGCTTTTCATTTCCATCAATATCAAAGTAACACAAGTTCAATACACATAGTTGATTTCATAGATTTGTATTGTGTGAACTCAGTGAGGAGAAATAACACAGGATTGATCTACATCATTCAAATACAGTGTTTCCCGCAGAAAATTAGTCAGTCAAGGTGGTGAGGGGCGTGGCACTGTAGTTCCCACGATGACGACAGGCATGCTATCCGGTTGTCGGATTTAGCTTCTTTCCCGATAAAAAAAGAAATGTTGGCCTTGCCACGCAGTTACAGCAGATGATAGATGGCTTAACATATTTAACCTACAGATGCCGCTATTCCGCCTCATTGCAATGCGGCCTTATTTTAACCTACTGTCTATGCGGAATATTTATTTATTTTCGGGGGACGTAGTCAAGGCGGCCGCCTTAACTATAAAGCGCTACGGGAAACCCTGAAATATTCTGAAAATGTGAATTTAAACTTAAAATT